ATTATGTATATCGCCAATAATTTTAGATCTTTCCGTTTAATATGTATCTATGGCTGCTTCTGGCACCAGTTTATCGCGTTTTAAGATAAATTTCGACAAGTCTAGGTTTTTCAAACCTTGTATTATTTTTCGCCTTAATTTTTATGCTTCTTTGATAGCACTCAGGTATTTTTAGAATTTTTTCAATGAAGCTATGATTTACATCAGTGACGAAAATTATGTGATGAAATAATGGTTTTTGGAACAATAATACGGATGTGAGGCAATTAAACGATAAGTGTAAAAGTCAGTTTGTTTGGTATATACAAACCTTTTTGATTTTAAAGCTGGTGTCGCGACTCGCGAAAGGCACTGTAGGGTTATTAAAGGTTACTGTAGCTCCCTAAGGGGAAGCTCCCGGAGGGTCTGCAAGTTGATCAACTAAGCAGACGGAAACCATGTATAAAAGGGGCAGTAATCAAAGAAAACTCATTGTCTTCAAATTTCGTCTGCAGTTCTTTCGAAGTTTGACTCATTTGTCTGCTATTATTATCGACCTTGGTTTATACTATTTTTTTTTCTGTTATTGCGTACCCAGTAGGCAGTTTTCTGTTTATTGGAATTATTTGTAATCAATATTTTGTGGTATAATACTGAGTGATCAACCAATGTCAATGAGAGTTTCTTGATTGTAAAATATAAGGGTGAAGTAAGAATAAAGGAATTGAGAATAAGACAGGGCTCCAACATAAGAAGATTTTGCTCAACAGGATACGTGAGCTGCAGCTGTTTAGGAGATTAGAGACAAATAAGTCAAAGATGTCTAGTAAGAAATACAGTTTATCGAGCTACAGACCACATGGGTTGGTAGCTGTGATTCGTTAGGGGCTAATTACGGACACAGTTAAACGAGTGTATTACGAGAAGGACCCACGTAGGGTGTGTACGGGGGCCACTGTACTGGTAGTGCCTCAACTAAAGAAATTGTCGGTTTAGCCACGACAGTTGGAAATCTAAAAGAAAAGCAAGACTATGGCGTCAGATTATGATTAAGGTAACTGTCGAAAAAAAGGGAGCACATTTGGTGGGTTGTGAAGCAATACGACTTTAACTTATAAGTAGTTGTTTTA